TAAATTCGCACTGAGGGTGATGATCTGGCGCCACGACTTTGCAAGGGTTGTTTTGTGAGGGCCAACATTCTTCCAGGTTGTGGTAATGCTTCATTGGACAACACGGATCTAAAACATTCATAGTCGCTTGTCAGGGCAAAATCATTATAACGACAGACGTGTTAACTTCTCTGTCCAAAGAACTTAATGGATTCCAATTAAATTTTGATGTTCAGGTTTTTAGGTTCAAATCTCGGCCTGGAGACCTGTTATCCTTACTTAGATTTTCCGTGATTTTTATCAGACCCTAGAGAAAAATATCGGTATAGTTGCCCTAAATGAGGTCCATCTTTTCAAGTTTATTAGTCATAATTTATCAAATTACTTGGTACTATATACAGTAATCTGAGGTTATGACAGTGCCGTTAAATATATTTGGGTCAGTCTACATTAAAAGTTATTATGCTATTAAATTAGTATCAGTTTTGGCCTAATATAGGCTACGACTTCTTATGTACGTGAAATCGAGATATATCGATTGCTTCTAATTGCACAGAAACGTGTATCTGATATAAAACACACGCCTCGTTATGAAACATTTTTTGGTGTCGTGAGTATTTAAGAAAATTGAAAGTAAACTGTTTAACTCTTTGGGGTCTGGCAACATTTTGAATCACGAAACTTACCAGGACAGAAGCTGTAAGTGGCGCATTGGAATGGCAGACTATCGTCGGCTCTTGGATCTCGATTCGAGTCTCGAAAGTCAGGATCGAAGCAGTTTGCAAAATTGTCACACGGCTCGCCTAGGGCTCTGAGATTCGGTTCTTCCAGCATAGTGTACCAGCACATGAAGTAACTGGCGGAAGTCTGCGTGGAAGTCAAAAGTTTAACAAGAAATGAATTACTTTCTCTGGCTCTGTAAGTTAGTCAGAATGCTGACATAAATACCATCTCGCTCGTAATGTGTCTGTAAGTATTAATACAGCTGAACGCATTCTTTTGTACAGTGCACACAAAATTAACCACCACCCGTCCTTCCGTATGTCTCATCTTCGAAAGTCAAACTATTTATAAGGAAATTCGTATTTTGGGTTTGTACTAAAAGTTGACGCAAAAATTTAATATTCGTGCATATCGGTAAATTATATAACATAATACGCAAAGTCATGAACCGGGATAGCTCAGTCAGTATAGTGACTAGCTACGGGCTGGACGACCGGGGTTCGATCCCCGACGGGGGCAGAGGATTTTTCCTCTAGCCTCTGCGTCCAGACCGGCTCTGGGGCCCACCCAGCCTCCTCTACAATGGGTACCGGGGTCCTTTCCCGGGGGTAAAGCCGGCCGGGGCGTGATGCTGACCACTCACCCCCATCTAGTGCCGAGGTCAAGGAAGAGAGGAGCTATACCTCCTCTCCCCCCAAACGCCTATTTGGCGTATAGTGGGACAAACTTTACTTTTTACGCAAAGTCAAATTGAAATAATGAAATTTCTGAAATAATATCTTATTATAAAAACATGAAATAGCCTTGTTGTTTGCAGTTTTAATTGAAAACTTTTTTTTTTTTAATCTGTGATACGAAATTCTTCTGTTTACGTATGCTTTTGTGTTGTTGCTAGGCAACTCTGTTTCGAATTTACAACGCTTGTCATATGCTAACCGGAATATCAATTTAATGAAAGTAAAAATAATTTAGTGTTTCTTTCTATTAATGATTTAATTTTTATGTGTGATTTAAGAGGTTAAATACTCCGATAAGTTTACGTTGTTTAGGCAGTTTGTAAAAAATGCACGTAGAAAATTAATTTAACATCCAGATAGATCTGTGTAGTTACACATGAATTAAGTAAGAGTTTATTAAAGACGTGTGATGTATTAAATAAATATTATATTTTAATCAGTGGACTAATTGAGCGTACTTTTATTTTGTGACGAATATCTGACGACATAAAAGGACGATTAAAAGTTCATTTTGGCCTACGTTCAACGTCTCTTTTATGATTAGAAATGAAATAACATAATGAGCTATATTTATATCTCTCAAAATTGGCTAAATTCGTGGAGTATATTCTCACCCTCCATTGAAATCTGTCCAATGTACCAAGGAAGGGCTCAGCATTAACCCAGTCCAATCTCCGTGATTTCTTACATTCCTTTTCAGCTTCTGAGATTTCATTCATGTTGTTCGGGAGACTCCATTTGTTCTTTCGCGTAATTGTGATTACGTCCTCGTCACGTCGAAGCTTGGCGTCCTTAATTTTCTGTAACCATGGAAACGAAATTTAACGTCTTGTTAACACTAGGAGAGGTCAAAACCGTGGACGTTCTATACATCAGATTTTATTTGAAGAGGATATATAAATCGTCTGATGAAAACACTAATAAAATCTGACAAATTTTTATCATGAATTCATTCAATCATATTTAGTCGTATTTTGGGAAATGAAATATTTCGATTAAATTTTTTATTTTAGTCTTTTGGCAACAGTGATGTGCTTCCGAATATTTAATTTTATTGTGCTGGAAATCTTAACGTGGATACTTAATTATACATTTCAGAGTTGCTTACTGCTTCAGGTATCGCCCTGATGATGGAGGCAGTAAGCATCTCTGAAACGTCGTGCAGTTTATGTCAGACTGCACTGCCCAACATCCCAGAAGACAGCCAGTCATCTTCATACGTGAAATCTCGTCACGGAATGAAATGTGATTTATTTTGGATTATTTTCGTAATCGACTTACTTCGTAGAGATAGTCGACACATTCGACGAAGCTGATGTCGCAGTATTTGCGCACTTCCGGGTGAAGTGACCTCAGAGCGGGGTCGGGGAACTGCATGAAGAAAGTCTGCAATACAGAGAATAATCAGAAATTTTCAGACTACATATTCTGTGCTGTTTTCTTACTTGGAGATGATAAACAGACAAATAAAATTAATTATTAAAAATTAAAAACGTAGAGGAAATATTCTTGGTTTCCGCTGGGTGGTGGGCCACAGAACTGCTGTTGTCGGAGTCCCAATTAACAAAAACCCTTTATGGAACCCGATAAAATCAATGAAGATGAGATTGACGAAGTATGTACTGTTCGCGACTGTAATCTTGAGACTTGCGGGGTGCGGAAGTGGGGTGACGGACGAAGGCGTCTGCTTTTAACGCTTCGGACTTCCTGCATTCCTTGCAAGTCTCGAGATTACAGTCGCCAATTTGGGTTAGGAAGTCTTGAGATTTTTAGACTTCTTCGAGGACCTAGCTTAGACGCCAGGCGAATATTAAAATGTATCTTATGGAAATAATACGGAATGGTGTGGATTGGATTAATGTGGCGGAGGATACGGTTGAATTATTTATATTTATTTTATTATTTAGTGTTCTGTCTGACGACAGGTCCATATGAACAGGATCCTTCCATCCTTTTCTCGGACTGGGACCTGTTCATATACGTTCTTGGCAGATGATCCAGAAGTGGTTTGCCATTGCCTTCTTCTGTGTGTGAATGCCACGGAGAAACCGGGGAAGCCCCCGGAGAAAAACTCCGTGTTGCCTAGACCACGGCCTTGCCCAACACAAGTTATAAATTCTGGCACCGCCGGGAATCGAACCCGAGACCCCCAGGATTACAAGGCCAGCGTTCTAACCGCTGGACCACCGTGGCACTAGGGTTGAATTAATGAAATTTTAATCCATCCACTATTAGCTAATTTCGGTGGCGTGGCTTTCGACACAGAATTTGAGTAACGCCATTGAATGGTTTTGAAATTATACGGGGAGCGAAGATCACGAGATACTTACTCTGGGAGCGATGGTCTCATTCTCGTAGACTCTCCTGTCGAAATCATTGAATTTGTGCGCACGTAAGTAATAAGCGATGTCTCGTACAGCCGTCGGCAGCCATTGGAGTTCTGAAATTCCGGTCAATGGATCTGTTTCATTTAGCCATTCTACATCTCCTTTGGGGTCTATATCTGCGTCACTATCGTCTTCTTCTTCTTCTTCTTCTCCTTCTTCATGGGTATCATCTGATGCTACAAATACGATAGCGTCTTTGGTATGTGTTGCAATTCTGGTAGCTATGATGTAAAACGCGGTGATAAACAATGTTAAACCCACTGACAAATTCATCTCTACTTTGGCTTCTGACAGCACTTAATCAATTCTCGTTTGCTCACAGGTTAGTTGTGTTGCCGGGTTTCTGAAACAATGTATCAGATTAATTGTTGTGCTTGTTTACATGTTTATTTTTCTTTCTATTGTTGCTGGCCACGAGTAGGTAAAGGCGGATAGTAAACAAATTGCTGTTGCTAAACTACGCACTTTGTTTAAATTGAAACGATATTCCACAATAATTATGATTGTTTTTGTAGTTAACTTGGTCGTTCATAGTAGTTTTTTAGGTCTTGTAATCCTGGGGGGTCTCGGGTTCGATTCCCGGCGGTGCCCGAATTTATAACTTGTGTTGGGCAAGGCCGTGGTCTAGGCAACACGGAGTTCTCCTCCGTGGCATCCCAACAATTACTCCATTCACACACAGAAGAAGGCAATGGCAAACCACTTCTGGATCATCTGCCAAGAACGTATATGAACAGGTCCCAGTCCGAAAAAAGGATGGAAGGATCCTGTTCATATGGACCTGTCGTCAGACAGAACACTAAAAATAAAAAATAAAAATAAATCTATTGTGATGAAATGTTTCCTGTACTTCGATTAACGACTGCACGTAGCTGCGTTAAGAGCAGTGGCTGTCTGTAATACAGTAATTAAAAATAATATGATGGTGTCAATAATTTGGTGTCTGTTTCAATCAGATCAACATTTTCTGAACACTGTAATATTTTCGTAGAAATGTTTCTCGAATCTGGACTGAAGCATTGTCTACCTTGACTTAACGGCATAAGAATCAAAGGAAATATTTACTAGAATTAGAGCGAACGCATAAAATTCTGGGGA